AGCGGCTGCCCTCGTGCGCCCAGAAACCCTCATGTCCCCGCGCCCCACGTCCAGTTCACGGATGGTCCTCGTAGTGAGCGGCGGCATGTTGGTCGATGGCGCGGCACCAGGAGGCGCGACGGCGGGAGGCGATGGCACGACGGCGAACGGCGTTGCAGGCGGCGCGGTGGTGGTGAACGGTGGCGCGGCGGCGAGCGACGTTGCACGTGGCGCGTTGGTGGTATACGGTGGCGATGGTGTGGCTGCGGTAGGCGGCGGCGCCGGCGATGGTGGCGTGGAAGTTGCCGGCGGCGCCTGTGATAATATGGCAGCGGGAGAAGTGGGAGAGCGGGCGAACGGTGAAGGGGGTAACAGAGGCGGTGAAATGTACTCCATTGAAAACGGTGCGGCGGCGACATCCGAATCCTCCCCCTCGCCCGCCGGCGCCGGCATCTCCAGCGGCGGGGTCAGCAACGGCGTGCGGTCGGAGACCCACACGACGTTGTTCGTCATGCACACGCGCCCCGTCGCAAACTTGAGGACCTTGACCACCGACTCGTGATGGTTGTCGCCGTTGTTGAGGTAGCAGCACAGCACTGCCTGGGGATCCATCTTCCGCGCGCGCATCACACGCATGTGCCCCGGCTGTAGGAACGGGACGATCTGGAGCGGGGGCGGGCGGCCGGTGAAGAGCTTGTGCGGCGACTTGTACCCGAGGTTTACCTTGGTCGGAGAACGGTTGGAGCCGCCGGCAGCCCAGTGACACGACTCTAGCCAAAGTCGCTCGCCATTTCGTCCGAAGCCGGGGACGCGGGTGAAGTCGATCTTGGGGAACAGGCAGCGTGCCTCGAGACGAGCGGCGTGGCCGGCCTTGTTCACGCGCCAGATCGCACTCTCCGCCGGACCATTCTGCTGCGGGGTGCTCGGCGCCGTGTACGCACTGCGGATGCCGGCGTTGTCGCAGAAGGCGATGAAGTCGCGGCTGACGAACTCCCCCCCGTTGTCCATCCGGAAAGAACGAGGGACACCGGTGCCACTCATGTCGGCGATGAACTTCTAGACGAAGGCGAGGGTGTCCGACTTGCGCCTCATCCCGTGAAGCTTCATCCACCGCTAGAAGCTGTCCACGAACATGATCATAAAAAAAAATGACTCCCCCAGCGAGGTCGTCACGGCCCACACAGATCGATATGCCAAAGATCGTGCGGCCGTTCCGCGCGCGTGCCCGATTGGTGAGGCCCGCCCGCCTCCTTCCCCTTCGCCTGCAGACATCCACCACAAGGCTGCAGGACACCGGTCAGTCGGAGACTGTGCTGCTTCGCAAGCTCACGCAAAAGAAACTCATTGGCGTGGGAGCACGAAACGTGGAGCAGGTTAACGTCAATAATCTTGGTGGGTTTCCCCACCGAAAAAGGGCACTTGCCCGGGGCCATGACGGGGACAGCGAAAGCAACATCATCGAAGACATTTGCAAATCCAGCCTCAAACATCAAGTCTAAAAACTCGTAGGAGTCTTCGGATACCTCTCTTTGTTCCAATAGGTACACAGCCCACTCGTAATCTCCCTGCTCCGTGTACGGAATGCATCCACGGTCATCATCGTCATTACTCTCCTGAAAAATGGAGATGTCGGGCGAGGGCAGCCCGGGAACAGCTACCAACTCCACACCATGCGGCACTTGAGGAGCGGAAGGAAACGCCACACTCCTGTCAGCGGGGGGGGGGCATACATTGCCGGAGGAACGACGCTGCTCGCAGCGGGCGGGCGACCGTACACAATTGATGACACTACGCTGTTTGCAGCGGGCGGGAAACCGGGCACAGTAGAGGGCACTACACTGTTTGCAGCGGGCGGGAAACCGGGCACAGTAGATGGCACTATGCTGTTTGCTGCGGGCGGGAAACCGGGCACAGTAGAGGGCACTACGCTGTTTGCAGCGGGCGGGAAACCATACACCGTGGAAGGTACGACGCCGGTAGTAGCGGGCGGAAAATTCGACACGGTGGGTTGAACAACACTCCTGGGAGCGGTTTGAGGTACAGACATCACCGGAGGCACTTCGCTGCTTTCAGCGGGCGGGACACCTGACACTGCGGAAGGGACGTATGCTACACCCGGAGGGGGGGAAAACACCGAAGGGGTTTCTGACATCACTCTACCATCACTCGCATGTAAACGTACACCAGCAGCGCGGGGAGGGGGCACCGGGGGGAAAGGCATCACAGGCACAGCGGTGGGCCTTTCATAGTTGGGCGGCAAGCGAGTGGCCCAAAGTGACGAACCCCTCTCGCCACGGGGAAAGGTCAATTGGCCATGGAAAGATGGGTGCCTACGTCGTGCAAGGCAATACGTTGCAATCCCTGTGCTTGGTGGAGGGAGAAAAGACTGAACCCCATTCCTTCTACATGACGTACTTGGGTAAGCTTCACGCAAAAGTCTCTACCTTTCAGATGAAACCTCACGTTTAAACATCCGATTCCAAGCACTCGCATCGTCCTGCCATTACCAATCTGCACTCTCTCGCTACCAAGGGGCGGGATGATCACATCGTACATGTTCGTGGGGTCTCCGGTGGTGTGGTTAGCTGCACCGGAGTCTGCAAGCCATTCTTCAACTCCTACACGCTCCGCCCTCACAACCGGTATAGAGTTCATCAAGGCATACCCCTCACCC